GTACGTGCTCTTCCCGCGGCACCGGTTTTTGTGAGCTGTTCTCAGATTGTTATTGACTGTTTGCATATCAGAATCGTGGAGGACAGGGTTCGGTAAGCAAGCAGACAGAGTCAACCTGAGGCAGTTGAGGCTTCCAAAGCACAAGGCCAAGCCTGGCAATCTTTATCGGGAGGATGCTGCAGCCCCTGGTGCTAGCCGCAGGCTCATAGACCCTAAACAACTTATCCCCCTTTTCCATGAGGGAGCAGCCAAAAGCCCAGGCCTGCAAGGCGTGATAGGTACAGTGTCTTGATTTACCCAACTCATTTGCTGGCAACCCGATGGAGAGACTGGATCAGAGCTGGCCACAGACTGGCCGTCAGAGAAAATGTTTGCATGTTGGAAACTCCCTCTACAGGGTAAAAAACTCCTGTCGGTAACAAAGCAAGTGAAAATTAGAGTCTTTAACCTCATGTAGTTTGCCTTCTCTAGTGGGGAGCAATAAAAGTCCCTTGCTAATGTGTACTTGGACACAGGCATTAACCAAACACTTCGCTGGTATTAGCTAGTTTAACTTTAAAGCCATTCTCTAATGTAGTACTAATTTTCCCAATTAACAGATCACAGAAATGAAGAATTAAGGTATTAATAAGCACAGATATGAAGCCACTTGCCTAAGGTCACTGTTACCTAGGGCTGCACCACAAAACCTGTTTATCTGTATGCCACACAGAGCTCAGTTTTTTTTTTTGTTTGTTTTTTTTTCTTTTTCGCAGAACCGGGGATTGAACTGAGGCCCTTGCGCTTGCCAGGGAAGCACTTATTCCGCTGAGCCATCTCCCCAGCCCCGCTCAGTTTGTTATTAAGTGGCATTAATTTCTTCATTGAATTTCCAAAGAAGTACTAGCTATTGCTCCGTAGTAATCCTGAAATCTCTGCGTAGATTTCAGTAAACATGGATTGCATGCATGGAAGATAGCAACAAACAGGGATTGCCTGCATCTTCCTTGGGACATCGCTTCTGACGCTCACTGAGCTTGCTTATAGTTAGCTGCCAGCTTGCTGGCGGTGGATAGATCGAGGCTGAGAGTAGCAGAATGGTTTTTGCTGCAAGTTTGAAGCCCTCACTGCAGGCTGGTGACTCTGCTCCAGGCATACACTGTTCTTTTGGGATCAGTGTTGTCACTAGGACGTGTCTTTCCCACGGAGATGGTGAAGGGTGCAGAGGGCAAGCCATGCTGGGCAAGCTCAGTTCCAGCCCTTGTTGGGGCCACGCCTGCTGGCATCCCACTGCCTGAAATCAGAGGCGCAGCTAACACCGATGTCAGCCGATGAATTCGCTTGGCATTTGCGCCCGGCTACAGTGAGATGGCAGAGAATGCACACACATCAAGGGAAATGTTTAGGATTGGGGCCAATAGTTCAATCAATTGCAGAGTGGTAGACAAGTTTTACTAGAAAGGTGGGGGCAGAACTGGCCAAATACATACATCAAGATCTTAAAATTTGTCTTTCTAGCACTCAAACACTTGTTGATGTTTGGATACAAACACCTCCCCATGCCACTTTCCTGTGCTCGCAGGCAGGCCTTTTGGAAAGTGGCTGGACCTCTGGGGTGCTGAACTGGCTGAAGATGCTGTGAGGAGAAGGCAGGCCACAGGGTGTGACTACAAAGGTACATTTATTATCTCAGGTTCTGTCTGGGTTACTCTTCTCTCGTTGCTGAGACAAAATGCCCAACACCCAAAATCAAGGAAGGAAAGGTTGATTTAGCTCACAGTTAGTGGAGGTTTCAGTCCATGCTCAGTTGGCTCCAAGGCAGAGTGGTACACGGCAGAGGACAGCTGTTTATGGTGGCGGAAAACAGCAAAGAGCAAAGGGAGGAGCAGTGGCTGCCACAGCTAGCAAGCCTGTCTCCCCTCCTTTTACTGTGTTCAGGCTGCTCACACCAGGGCAGGCACAGCCCTTACACCCATAATCCCAGCATTGGACCATGAATTGATCACGAACTCTAGAAGCCACCACCATGACTGCTTGAGGTTTTGGGAGGACAACTAGATGCAAACCATAGCAGGCTCCTTTCTGTCTGTGCTTTCTGCACAGCTGGGAAGATTTCCTCCACCATGCTTTGTGCTGTGCCCTTTCTCTCTTAGAATGACCGACCACAGACCAACATCACTACACCCTGAATCTACCTAGATCTCTTCTCTTTTAAGCTGTGAGTGCCAGGTGCTCTGTCCCAGTGAAGGGAAAGCAGAGAGACACAAGTCCCCAACAGGCGAGCACTCTGACCATACAGACACCTGGCGCAGCTTCACATTTACGCAGGCAGCCTGGTGTAACTCAGGTGGATAAAGCAGTAAGAACAACCAAGCTTGCTAGGATGCATTTATGAGATGAACTATTTTGTCATGATTAAAAGTTCCATGTTTTTAAAAATATTGACAGTTCAAACTCTGCACTATATAAAGTTGAACAGTAAAAATGCAGGATGCAAAAGTACAAAGGTAACATGATCTTAATTAGTAAGCACTGAAGACATATGTGCACGCACGTGCACACACACACACACACACACACACACTACCAGAATAAAATAGAGAAACACAACTGGCTATCTGAGAGAAGTAAATTGGGTTGAGATTTTTTTTGTGACAGGTTGTTCATAATGAATAAAAAGTACTGTTTCTGAACATTCCACACAAGATGTATTGCTTAAAAATTATTTGTAAAATGTGGATTTTTTTTTTTTTTTTTCCTGGAATGGGGATTGAGCTCCAGCCCTTGAGCTTGCAAGGCAAGCGCTTATTCTACTGAGCTATCTCCCCAGCCCTGGATTAATTTTTTTTTTTTTTTTTTTCCTCGAATGCCTTCAGGGCACTCTTGGCCAGCGGGAGAGTTGTGAGTTTCAAACTCCAGCAACCTGAGGCTGAGAGCTTTGTGGGAGCAGCCACTTAAAGGCCTGAGCTAGGGCCATGCCCCCCCGAATTAATTTTGAGTTGTCTGGAAAGTATATTTGATAGAGAAAAATAAAGTCATCACCCCATAAAGACTTTGGGAATAGAAGGCAA